TTTCTCCAATGTCCATGATATTTTGTGAATTGTGTATATCTATTGACGAAAGATCCCTTTCGATTTTGATAAATTAAAGATATCCTTTATGGTTTTCCTTAGGCCCAAGATTATGGCATTTACATCTTACTTTGGTGTCCACCGTCCATGATAGACCCAAGTACTGTTTTACGGTTTTGTGGACTGTAAGATTCCCCAATTGATCATCAAGAACACGTATTATTATTAATCCCTTAGTAATACATGCTAGACTTTTGTAAATAATCCTGTACAGAATGTGTCAAAGTTTTTAGAATTTCATTATCACCTGTAGACATGCTACAATCTCCTTCTACAATCTCCTTGTGAGGAAATACGTTTCCCAACAGCACACACTGTTTAATCATATTAGGATGTTTAAATATGTATCAACACGTGAAATACACGTTCATGTTTACCATGTTTACATCAGAACATCACAACCTTTAACGGTCTTCAAATTGAAGAGCATCATTTTTAAATACCAAAGGGTCGAAAACAAACTATCATTTGATTAGGGACTTTCCGTTTAGAATTTTTCTCAAAGTTCGGTTTTCTTTTTTATTTTACTTTTTTCCAGAGAATTCAATTCATAAGTTATTTGCATATGAACAGATATCAGATACGTTATTATTATTTCCTGATTTACTTATCGTCATCTTTGAGAATATGTATTTTTTTTTATTGTGGACTGTTTTTGTTTAGGAAATAAAACCGCAATTCACTACATAAGCAGTCGAATTTACTGAAAATCAGAATCAATTTTCTAATCATAATAACCCAATATGACTTAATCGTAATCTTTTGAATAAATGCATGTAGTAGGTTTGTGACTGAAGCTAGATATGTAAGGTTTGGTATAATAAGAGATTTTACAATTGTTTTTTTTACCTATCATTGTAAGATTTCTCATTTTCAAATTGCTTATTAATTTGTCATATTTTTGTCATATTTTTTTTTAATATTAAGCTTATTGCATTCAGCTCGATTTGTTCCAAAATAAACTTCTAGACTTTTAATTGGTCCTGTATTCCATATAATATTTATGAACTTATTGTTCCAATGTTTTAATTTTCACAACCAAATTCCCTCTGTTTTCTATCTGTTTAGTTTTAAACCTGATAGTGTCCCAAAAATTTCAATGATATTAAGAGTGTGACGTACAAAAATGTACTTCATTTTTCGATTTTAGAAAAAAAGTGTTGTGTCGTCGGCTAATAGTGAGATCTTTAAACAATGAATTCTAGTATCAAGTTTAATTTGAAAACCTTTGATTTTGGAATCTTTTCTTCTTCTGCATTGCGAAATTTCTACAGCAATAACAAAAATCAGGGATTTTAACGTGCATCATTGCTTAATACCGCGTTTAATGTGGTAGGATGATGAAACCAACCCATTGTTCAACATACAACCTTTTATATCTTTATACAGAGTTTTAACCCATTTTATAAAAGGATTTGGAAGTCCGAATTTCGTTAGTGCTTCATACATAAATGGCCATTCCAATGAGTCAAAGGCTTTGGAAAAATCTATGAAGAACACTTATCCTTCAATATTAAACTTTTCTGCATGGTCTATTATGTCTTAAATCTGACGAAGTTTTTTTGGGAAGGGAAAAAAAAGTAAAACGAACGATATTAAGCAATTATGCTACTGATGGAGGTCTTAAGATGACAGATTTAGACAAGTATATAACTGCACTACAAATAGAATGGTTCAAAAGACTAACAGCAGATAATTTTGCTAACTGGAATGTGATTCCGACTTTTTACTTTAATAAATTTGGTGCTGATTTCATGTTACTTTACATTGATCCGGTCAATTGTTATTCAATACAAAACCTACATAAAACTTTACCAAAATTTTACTTAGACATTGTAAAGTCCTTGTTCAAAATACAAAATTTAAATAATGTCAAATTCACTTTGAATTTTAAAAACAATAGACAGCAAATCTGAACGGGAAACACAATGATAAAGTTTCAAGGATAGTGTTTAGTTTTTATAAAATGGATAAAAGATGGTATTATATATATCAATGATATTATTGACCAGAATGGTAACATCTCTCAAGATATAATATCTAATAAAGTATCCTCAAATTCCCAATCTAATTTTTGAAAATTCAAAAACAAAATATTCTAAACCAAATGATTGGTTAAAGATACTTAAATCAGATTCATCGATTAAATCTAAAGTAAACAATTAACTTAAACTATGCATTACAACAAAGAAACAAAAATAAAATAACATGTTTACATGTAATGGAAACAGAACAGCTATATCCACACGTTAATAATACTAGAAATAAAGACATGCCTCCAGGTTTCTTAAAATTGAAAAGTGTACTAAATTTAGACTCTTAAATATCAATTAAATCAATGATAAAATTTGTATTTACTTATTTAAAAGATAACAGATTAAAAATATTTAAATAGACATTGCTACATCATATCCGTCCTTGTACACAACTGCTTTTTTCAATGGAAGATAAAAGAAGACAGTAAATGTAACATATGTAATGAAACAGAATAGTATAATCATTTTCTGCTGGAATGTCAATAATTTAAAGACTTTTGGGAAAACGTCAAAACACTGTTAAATAAAATTAAAATTAGTCAACATATCCTAACCTTCAGAAATTTCATACTATGATATAAAATCTGGGACAGCAGTTATTACGGTATACATATTTTGATAACACTCTTTACATTTTCCACCCACAAGTGTACTCACATTTAAAAAAAAAAAATACAATTCTTGATGTATGTGCTATGTTCAAAAAAGACTTTTTGAACTATTTAAGTATATCGATACTAGCAGGTGGTAAACATGGTAACATTTTGAAAGAAATAAGCTTGTATATATACTTGTTATTTTATGCATATATGTTATATGCTATATTTGTACAACAGATATGTGTGGCTTATCCTTAATTGATCCTTAGACAACGTGTTGTGGACTTCGTCATGATCATGATCGATGATAAAACATTAAACCCTACTTATCCTAACAGCATATTTCCTTTAATCACATAATCACAATTAACAAAACTCGTGTAAACACTTCAATTCACAATCATATATATGTACTTACAATGAAAATGGCTTTTCCAAATAATTGCCTCCATGGTGTGATCGTTGATCAACAGTGTCACGACCAGGTCAACTAACATATATAGAGTCAAATCGGTCCATGAATGCAATTTTTCTGGGACATAAATAATATGTGGTAATCTGTGGTCATATAGAATGTAAATCTTACAATTAATTAGTATTTACAAACAATCTCCCAGTTTGTTCAGTAAAACTAACCTTACAGGGGTGCCCTATCAAATGCTGGAGACATGGTACTTATTATAACAGCATATAGTGCAATCAATTTTATTATAGAAAAAACAACGACTTAATTTTACATTTAACAACACAACAGAGTGCTTACAATGCAAACAGACATTTTTTCCAAATATGCTTGCTGAACAAGTTGTTCATGTTCTGTCTGGTTTTCTCTGGCATGGCTTCCTTAAGGTTTCTGACATAAACATAATTTTGTAAGCATCTGTTTTTACTTGCTAATAAGAATTTGATGAAAACATGTTGTGTTTACATCTTAATTCAAATAACATTAATTAAACAGATCTTATGTCAATTATATGTTAATGATATCAAAGACATTTTAGAACTATATCTGGTTGGATACACAACTGATGATGAATCTTTATAAATGTATATTCCAGTATATGAATCCTCATAAATATACACACAGCTTAAAATGAATTTTTATAAATGTGCATTCCACTGTATGAATCCTCATAAATATACACATATCTGATAATGAATCTTTATAAATGTGCATTCCGCTGTATGAATCCTTATAAAATTACACCTTGTAGTTTATGTAGACCAACATTCAAAGAGTAAATGATCATCTTATTTAGTTTGACCATTGATGCATGTGATATATATATATATTGCAGTTATATTTGTACACCACATTGTCCAGTTTTAAACACAAAATGTCATTTATTTTATATGTTAACATTACAAATTAGAAGGACACATTATCCATTGCTCCCTTAAGGATACCAGCAGATTGTCCGTTTCCTGGTCACAGTCAGCTGTGGTAAAGAAGCGAGAGGCAATACACTGATATATTTGATTTTCTTAGTCTACTCCTCTTTATTCTAAATCATTACACAATCATGGTGTTAATCGAATAGATTTATCAACAACAAATATGTTTTGGATTATCAAAATGGGGTCTCATTGTACTTGTCTAATTGCATTGACTAAATTATTTTGTTTTCTGACAACAAAAATATTTCTTAAAACTTTGATTTTACTTGTAAATAAGAAGTTGACGAGTTGTTTAAAAGTTTACGGTAAGATTCTATCAGTTCTACAAATGTGTACATTTCTAAAATAAAGTTGTGTTTACTAGGATAGTGCTGTTTTCGCCATTTAACGAAGAAAAGCCTTCAAGGAACATGTTGTGTATTTGTTGTTTTATGTAGAATATACAAGCTATGGAACATGTTGTGTATGTGTTGTTTATGTAGAATATACAAGCTATGGGATATGTTGTGTATTTGTTGTTTATGTAGAATATAAAAGCTATGGAATCAGATAATACATGTTTTATTTGGTGTACTGACATTCTTTTCTTATTGTTATTATCTGATTGAATGTATTAAGAAGAAGATGACAAGAATAAGCTGTGTTTATGTTAGTCCCATCTAAAAAATCAATCGATACACACAAAATATTTATTATTTTGAAAAGTATTGAACAAATTTAATTTTGATATCTCACAATAAAAACAAGTTGTTTGTGTGTTGTTAATGTAGAATCCACATATAAATGTGATAATATTTTTTTAGTTGTGACCACTAATTCGTGTGCTTTATATTATGTTTATATTTATAAGATAACATCGTTCAGTGTTAATACAAGTTTTGATGTCTGTTATATGTTGATGTTACAGATAGGAACAACACCATTATTGATAGCTGTACAAGAAGGACACCTGGAGATTGTCCAATATCTTATTAATGTTGGTTGTGAAAGAGAAGCAAGCACCAAGGTAATAATAAATAATATTTCGTCAGTCAGATCCTAATCTGTTTTATTCTCAATCAACATAAAACATTGTTGCTAATCAGCCAGGTTTCAATGGCAACAAATGCGTCTTGGTATATATAAAGACATCCATTTTCACTGAAATAGTACACATTTTGTTAGGGGACCAGCTGAAACCCGCCTCTGGGTGCGGGATTTCTCGCTTTGTTGAAGACCCAATGGTGGCCTTCAGCTGTTTTCTGTCCTTTGGTCGGGTTGTTGTTTCGTTAACACATTCCCCATTTCCATTCTCAATTTTATCAGTTTACTTGTCGCTTCAACCATTAACAGTTATATATATATATGACAAAAGACCAAGTAAATGTTCTGAGAAACAATTATTTAGTTAAAAACTGATTTAAATTGTTAAAAGGAAAATGATGAGATCATTAAATGTTAAAACGTTAGTCAGATAAATATTGATTATACAGATCTAATGTAAATGAGTTTTTAGCAATAATAAATATTTGTATTTGCCGTAATATATTTGTACTAGGATTTTTCAAGGTATACTAATATTCTATGCAGTTGTTTATGGAAGTCTCATTTGAATTGTCTCATCAAACTTTGTGAGATAATATACATGATAAAGGACCCAGTGTTTTCTGACAAAAAATATTAATTTGATCAAAATCTAATTGGACCAGTCTGAATAAGAATGTGATAAGAGCATGTTGTGTTAACTGCTTAGACAGATGATATTAATTATATAGAGCTTATGAACATCATTGAAAGGAATCCATTGCCATGAATATTTTATGCATATCCTACAAAAAATGTTTTAAATGGCAGTTCTGATGGAAGTCTTGACAGTTGACAATATAGATCCATGTTGTATTTTGTTTTCTGATTCATGTATTTTGGATAAACATCTGATTGCACTTGCTGATAAGAAGTTGATAAGATCAAGTTGTGTTTATATTCTTACTTGGATATTAATATTTAACCTAAACAGATCTGATGTCAAACATCTTTTGGTAGCAAGAAATGCTTGTCAAATTGTATTTATTTTTGGATGTGTCTTAATTGATATAAAACTAAGATACATTGGTTTGAAAAACAAAATTGACAGTGACATCTAACAACAAAACAGACTGATGGAAGTTCTGACATCTTACATCAAAACAGGCAGTTTATTTGTTTTGTGTGTAGGATATAAATACAAGTGTATTAGGTCTTTGTATTCAGTTTTGATCATTGATTCCTATAATATATTATTTGTTTATATTACTTTCACAACATTGTCTAGTTTATGTCACACGTGTTAATGTCTGTTATATGTTGATGTTACAGAAAGGATTTACACCGTTATTGTTTGCTGTATCGAAAGGATATCTTAAGATTGCCAAATACCTGCTCACAGTTGGCTGTGATATAGAAAGAAGAACAGAGGTAATGATATATATATATATATATATATATATATATATATATATATATATATATATATTATATATAGAATAAGGGAATTTTTTTTTATACTGACTTTATCAGCAAGAATATCAAGCGAGCCCGAGCTGATGAAGTCAGTATCAACAAGTACATTGCCATTATTCTTTCTATCGGCAATGTATCTTAATTATATGCTTTTTTGTTGAGAATATGAGCTAAAATAGATTAGATTGTTAAACTACTTTTACGCGTACAAATCATTGTGATAGTTGTTCCGCTGTATACATGACGTTGCGTACATTTCATTAATACATTAACGCGGATGGACATGACCACGCGACGATCCTGCAATGATACAACATGTCATTATAATAAAGTTGTAGTTGTGTTTTCTCGCAAAAAATATTAAAGACACATCTGATTTTACTTCATAATAGGAATTTGAAGGGAACAACTTCAGTTAACATATTTAGTAAGATAATGATAAGTATACAGAGGTAAAGTAAACTTTTTTTTAAAAACAACAAATGTAATTAAAGAAAGGGAGTCTCATTTGAATCATGTTCTCGTACTAAACTATTATTATATTAATTCAGACATGCTTAAAAAAAAACATTTGTTATTAACATCAAAGTTGTGATTGAAGTGTTAACATCTCACTACAGAACATCTTGTGTATTGGTCTTTTAATCAAGAATAAAGATAGCATTGGGACTGGTATTTGTGTTTTTCAATTATGACGACTGATTCCTGTGATTTACTTTTTTCATATTTATCAAATAGTATATTTCAGTTTATTAACATTTTTTTGTCTGGCAGTTGTTACACAATTATATATTGTATTATGCTGATTCTAATAAAACGACATTAGTCAAATAATAACTGTATATTATCAGACTATATGTTGGTCATTATAGCATGGAAGAACTGCGTTACATGTGGCTGCTGTGTTTGGACATCTACAGGTCACACAATGGCTAATAGAAGAGGGAGGAATCAATCCCTTGCTGATGACATATCAGGTAATACTTGATATTATAAACTAATTGTTAAGTCGCAAAAGAAATGTAGGCTTGAGTGATGTATCTATGGTGTTTAAATAGTGGGTGTAATTATACATGTATCAAGATATCAATTAACATACGCAACATTAACATTTCTGTTGCCTTTATCTATAAAGTATTGATCCAAGAATCTATTATCAGATAACAGAAATGACATCAACTGATGAAACACTCTACACATTCACTATAATTTAAAGCACTCCTACACTTAAAATAAAATCATCATCAGCACTTATACGCACATAACTATCAACGGACCACATAAATATCACACACATAACGTAGAACTACTTACATCTAACCATAAATGAAGCACTCAAGACAAAACAAAATCAAACACTACAGTTAAAAAATAAACAATCCAACACCGTCATAACAGTTATAACCAATAGTCAACAAGACACAGAGAGCAAACATCATAAACTAAAGATGCAAAATAACCTATAACACATGACAGTCAACATGTAATGCAAACAACCAACAACTTCATAACACTAAAATAATAAACACCTACTCTTGACACTAGATAACAAGTCACTTATCAAACACATGTTATTACACATGTACTACCAACAACCAACCACTGCCTAAACTAAAACACTTAACACCAACTTATAAAAACTAGGGATATCAAGTCACTAATCAAAAACATGACTTTTACAAAATACTTCCAACAACAACCACTTTCCTTCACCAAAACACATAACACCACCTAAAAAAAATAGATATACTAAGAAACTAATCAATCACATGACCATTACCAGTTACTTCCAAACAATAACCACTAGATTGAACTGAAACATAAATACATGATGGTCACAAGGTTTTGCCTTGTTTGTCTTTAGTAACTACAATCACCAACCCGACAATTAAGAAACAACCATCAACAATCAACAATACACAAATAAATCAAACACATAAAAGTTACCCCCATTAACCAACTACACACAACCTCATTTTGCTGAAAACGCAAACACCAACAATTTTACAAGACAGATACAAAGTCACTTATAAATCACATGAAAATTGCCAGGTACTGCCAACTACCTACAACCTCATTACACTAAAGACGCAAAGACCAACACAAGAAAGATACTAAGCTTCCAATCGATAACTTGACAGATATCAGGCACTGCCAACGACCAACTAATAATTAAACACAAATTGTAAAGACAAGGCCATAGATGTTGTTTTACTGTTTTATGCCAACACAAGACAGCCATCAGACACTACCAACAACAACTTAAAAGAACTAATTTAACTCTACGTTCCGCTATATAGATGATGTTCTTTCACTAAATAATACAAAATTTGGTGACTATGTTGAACGAATTTATCCCATCGAACTAGAGATAAAGGATACTACAGATACAGTTACGTCTGCCTCATATCTTGACATACATCTAGAAATTGACAATGAGGGTCGGTTGAAAACAAAACTTTACGACAAAAGAGATGATTTCAGCTTCCCAATTGTGAACTTTTCATTTCTATGTATCAACATTCCAGCAGCGCCTGCATACGGAGTATATATCTCCCAATTGATACGATATTCCCGGGCTTGTGTTTCCTATCATGATTTCCCTGATAAAGGATTGCTGCTCACAAGGAAGCTATTAAACCAAGAGTTCCAAATGGTGAAGTTGAAATCATCCCTTTTTCCTTATAAATTTTACGGACGCCATCATGAGTTGGTTGACTGTTATGAAATAACCGTTTCACAGATGATATCGGATATGTTCCTTATATCGTAACTACAATACCCTCCCTTTTCACGAATGTGACTTACCGAATTAGACTATTTACAGGATCTCTTTACCCTTCCGGAGGACCTGAGATCACCCCCAGTTTTTGGTGGGGTTCGTGTTGCTTAGTCTTTGGTTTTCTATGTTGTGTCATCAGTCCTATTATTTAGATATAAGAAGATGTGGTATATTTGTCTGTTTGTCTTTTTATTTTTGGCCATGGCGTTGTCAGTTTGTTTTCGATCTATGAGTTTGACTGTCCCTCTGGCATCTTTCGTCCCTCTTTTAAAAGATACAACAACTGTGACAAAACATCAAACCTTAAAGATATATTTACCAATCAAGTACATGATAACACTCAGGTAAACAGACAATAGATATACGAAGATGTGGTATAAGTGCCAATGAGACAACTCTCCATCCAAGTCAATATTTATAAAAGTAAACCATCATAGGTCACAGTACGGTCTTCAACACTAAACCTTGGCTCACACCGAACAGTAAGCTATAAAGGGCCCCAAAAATTACTAGTGTAAAATCATTCAAACGGGAAAACCAACGGTCTAATCTATATAAAAAACGAGAAACCAGAAACACTTATGAACCACATCAAAATACGACAACTACTGAACATCAGATTCCTGACTTAGGACAGATGGAAACAAATGCAGCGGGTTTAAACGTTTTAATGGTACCAAACCTTCACCCTTTTTCTGAAAAAATAGTGTTGATTCATTTACAAATAATTAAACCTTTATTATAAAGACACAACCACCTGTCATTAGTCTACTTAGATCCAGTCACCAATGAAAAACTCAACAGTTATCAGACACTACCAACAACCAATTAAAACAAAACACAGGGAAAGATACTGCTGTGACATGTCATCAACCAGTTCATATTGCGACAATAACATAACAAAATCTACAAATTAAAATCAGTCAATACGCTGCGGTTTTTAAAACTGAACTTATGGTGTCTCTCATACACATATTTATCTTTATAAGAAAGATATTAAATAATTCAAATGAATCAATATCCTGGACAATGTTAGTAAAATAACGAAAACAAGTATTCATGTATGTCCATGGATAAGAATTTTCGTGGCTTGGGGTAAAATTGTATTTTTCTGGACATTTGACTCCACATGTTTTCAAAAATTTGTATACAAGATATAACATATGTATTCTTGTAGAACAGTAACATTCGTGGCTTCCCTATATCCATGAACGTATATCCATATGTATAAATGCTTTATTTGTACTTGACATGTGGTAAAACAAAAGAATGCAAAAGTATATGTGAAGGTACATATATTGTTAGATTGTATTTTAGGGTGAAACTCCTTACCAGCTGGCTGCAAAAACAGTTGAACAAGATTCTACTGAAAAAAGAAAAGAAAAGAACGAAATAATGGACTTTCTCAAGGTACAAGTTATGTCTTATTAAATGGTAGAAAACGATCACAAAAGTATACAGACATATCAATACTTTAAGAGAAACCAACTTGAAACATAGAGAAATACTATTTTGGTCATGTGACTATGTAGTATAGGAATCAAGCTGAGCTTTAGCAGTATGCATAGTATTGATAAAAACTATCCATCTATTCAAAAACATCTGTAAGATATACAACAACAGCAATACTAGATCATGTAGATAGCAACCTTAAAACACAACAAAATAAAAATGAATATTCTAAAGTCAACATACAGTCCTCAACAATGTACAAATATCTGTAAAATTACCATACGGCAAATTCTAACATGTCCAATGCTTGAGTATGAAATGCATTTCTTGTTGAGATTAGGTAAGATGTCTAATTCATCAAAATCACTTAAACAGTACAATATTAACATCACAATTACAATTACAGTTGCTATTCCAGAAAATTAATGAAAATGATAAATCTAGAAAAACCTTATTTTGTCGATACAGGTTGTGTCAACACTTGGTTCAATTGATGATTTTGTCAGACCCAGCAAATACTCTGTTTGCATTGTTAAATCTGATGAGTATATCTTGATTGTTCGATATCTCATTAATGTAAACCATATGTTTGTTTGCTTGAAAAACTATACATGAAGGTTTGTAGATGTTCAAAGTTTTAAAAATGTAGAACACAAGTAAAAGACGAGTTTAAAATGCTGAGTGATAATATATTTTTAGCATTAATATGAAATTAAATATGTAATACTATGTGTGTTTTTACTTTTTGTGTACAATTAAAGAATAATAAAGCATTGGTTTAAAAGTATATTAAAATATAAAGATAATATGCTTTTGTGCATCATAATGAGTTTTGTTTTATTTGTGGAAATGGCATGTGTAATTTTGTTGGAGCCTTTGATATTATTCATCAATCTAACAAATTTGCACGTAAAACACATTTTATCCGTGTTAATTACATAATTATTTGATCAAAACAATCGTTAGATTTCGTATTATCAGTAATGTATGTTAAGAATTGACTTCAACCATTGGAAACTACAAGAACATTTACTGAATCAACAATATGCATTGATTGCAGGTGAGCAGTTCAGACATGTTATAATATTGAGTTAAATATCTTATTTGATATCTATTACAAGTTCATTTCATATTGTAGACTGTCATGTCAACAGAAAAGTACAAAGTCAGCTCAAAAATCCCACAGCAGAAAGGTCTTTTACAAGTCCCGACAGGTTTGATTTTTTATATGATAAAAATAACATGTGTGATATACATCTATGAAACTGTAACTCTCTGTTTTTTTTTGTTTTTTTTTAATTCTATATAATTTTATTTGAAATGTACATTTGTTAGAGATACATAAAGTACTGGTACCTTATCCCGGATTCATTAACGTTAGTATATAGCATTTCAGTGATAAAGTTAGTACTTGTTAGTACACAACATACAGTTTTGCTAATAAATAATGTGTAACAGAATAAAAAAAAAAATAATATGATATATTATAAATCTTAGTTAAGAAGATAAATTATTTTTTTCTGCAACAAAATTGTAGAAGTGTTATATGTGGCTTGTTTATTTGTCAATATTTCGTAATGTTGGCGAAGTTCATTTTTAAAAATTTCAAACACATTAATTTGTTTTGTTTTCTGCTCGGATATATAATATACTTTATATATAGTAAAAAGTATGTTTGTTAGAAAATCGTTAATATTGTAATGAATTGTATCGTTTATCTTGTATCCATACAAAAGTGATGCAAGTGATAGTATATGATGTCCTATTTTAAGTTTTTCTAGTATTAGTTTTATTTGATCCCAAAATTATTTCAGATACTTGCATTTCAGAAAGTAATGTGCATAATTTTCAATGACATTACATATATTACATACAGGAGTTTTATTTATTTTCCAAAAGAAAAGTAATTGTTTGGTTAGTAAAATGTAATGTAGAAATTTCTATCTTAACATTCTCAATTTATTATCTTGGATATAGTTAAAGATAAAGTACAACATTTCTTCTCTTTTCCTTGTATTGTTATCTAAATTAAGAATTCTGTCCCATTTTTGAAATCCTAGTGTTTTCTCATAATATCTATTTTAAAGCGAGATGTAGATATGATTCGAGGAAAATTTTTTAATTGGTACCATTTTTCCTTCTCTATCTTTGAATTTAAATTCGTAGTCGGTAGCGACTTTTGTTTTAATTGATTCTTCTTTTATTAGCTCTTGTAACAACTGTTTTGGTATTGCTTTCATCAATTTAGTATATTCCGAAAACCAATTAGCATGGCTAGATAGTTTATCTAAAATCTTATTTTGATTATTTTTTCCTTTATCACCAATTATGTCATTTGCAAATAAAATTTTGGTGTTTATCCAATTTTTGAAAATAAGACATTTACCATTAAATTTGATATGCTTATTGCCCCATATTAGTTGCTGTCTGATATGCTTATATGTTAGTCGATCTGATTCTTTTTCAGATTTTAAGTTTATCTATGATATGATTATTTTTAAGTAAAACTCTGGAACAATTTCTTTTAGTTTATTAATCAAATTAATATTGTTAAAGTCTATTTTAAATATAAGGAATTCTTGTCCAAACTTGTCTAAGTAAAATTTTGGTAAGACATTCCAATTGGTTGATGAGTCTTCATTATCAATGAGTCTTTTTACCCAATTAATATTTATGGATTCTATATATTTATCTAGTTCTATCATTTTAAGCCTGCCAGCATGATAATTTTTATTTATTATAGCTCTTTAAATTTTTCTGGTTTATTATTCCATATAAAACTATTTATTAAATTTTTTTTAATTTGCGAGGTATTCTTTATCAATTTCTGTTACTGATGCAACATAGGTTATATTTGGTAGGATTAGTGATTTATTTTACCTAACATAGTTAATTTTCTTGTATTCCAATCTTTAATTATGTTTACCGATTTTTCGTATTGTCTTTGCAAGTTTAAATTTTTACACTCATTTTTATTAAGTCCAAAATATATCCTTAATACTTTTATCGGTTCTTGTGTCCACTTAATGTTTTCAACTTTATCTTTACAGGACTTTAAATTTCCGAGCCATATCCCCTCTATTTCATTTCGATTAATCTTTAGGCCTGAAACATGTGAAAGTGATCCGAAAATTTCGATTATGTTCAAAGTTAATAAAACTTCTTGTTTTGGATTTAAAAATAAAGTGGTGTCATCTGCAAGCTGGCTTAACTTTAGAGTATGGGTTTTATTATCTAGTTTGATTTGAAAACCTTTAAATTTTTTATCTTGTCTTTATCTACAGGCTAACATTTCAACAGCAATAACGAAAATTATAGAACTCGCGGGACACCCGCGCTCAATGCTGAAGGGTCTTGAAATCCACCATTATTTAATATACAACCCTTTATATCTGTATATAAAGTATTTATCCACTTCAGTAAATGTTTCTGAAAGCCAAATTTCTTTAATGAACAATACATACATTCCCATTCTAACGAGTCAAATGCCTTTGAAAAATCTAAAACAATGATTGTCCCGTCTACCTTGAAATTTTCTGAATAGTCTATAATATCTTGGATTTGTCTAATATTAAACCCAATATATCTGTTTTTTACATACCCGTTTTGATCACTGCAAATGATTTTATGCAATACTGGTTTAAGTCTTTGTACAAGAGAATATGCTCACTGTTAAAGATTTAATAAATGGTTTGGTACACTTGAATGTTATGCTTAACGTATAAGGGATGTTCATTTATGTCTGGTAGTCAATTCGTATTTGGAAATACTTTCATTTATGTAATTATATGCGGAGCATGGAAATATTGTGTTACATACTTTTCCGCTTAATGAGTTGGTCTGTGTTGTGAACTTTGAATATTACTATTTAAGCGATATTCAGAACTTCTTGTTTGGATATGCTTTAATTTTCATGCGGATGGACTTGTTCTACGTTTTCACAATTTTTTTGTGAAGTGATGATTTGATTTTTGGTCTGAAATGTTTTGATGTTGAGATGTACAGTGTTACAATTTAATGATCTGTTTTCTGTCACTTGTTGTTCAATGGTCAAGATTTCACACACGCTATACACTACAACATGACAAAGGTATGTGGAAGTTATATTTAGGCACTCACTGCTTACAAGTACCATGATTTTTTATACAAACCTATCATTAATCTTCTTGATCAAACATTTAAAAAAAAAAAAAAAAAAGAAAACAACACGTTAACTACCTTCATGCATCCGCAGCACTTTTTCTGAATTTAACTTCCCTCAGGTACACTCAAAGCCTAAAGTTTGTATATAGGAATGAAAATACAACTTTTTAAATGTTATGTTGCCATAGGACTTTTCTGGATTTCTCTTTGTCAGAAACGCTCAGAACTAAATTTGAGAAAGCCGAATATAGATAATTACCTAAGCACGTAAAGAAAGTGTAGTTTAAAAAAAGAATTTTTAACATTGCCATATAAGCGGAAGGTTTGGCTAGCCGTAAAACTAGGTTTAGAAGCCATCTGTTCAGTGGTTGTTGTTGGTGTGGTTCATAAGTGTTTCTGGTTTCTCGTTTTTAATGTAGATAAGACCGTTGGTTTTCCTTTTTGAATTGCTTTACACTAGTCATTATGGGGCCCTTTATCACTTGCTGTTCGGTGTGAGCCAAGGCTCCGTGTTGAAGGCCATACTTTGACCTATCATTGATTACTTTTTATACATTGGAACTTGGATGGAGAGTTGTCTAATCGGCACTTATACAACATCTTATTTATATCAACCCACCGTTTTTATTAAAATGTCCTGTACCGAGTCACGAATACTACTGTTGCCTTTATGTAAGAGCTGTATGAACCAATGTTTTTGACTGAGAGTAACTTCATAAGTTGTATGCGTTCGATAACATCTTAATGACTGTAAGGAACCCAAAAATAACAGGCAAATTAATCTTTGGCAGATGAACACATAATGTAGGTAGGATAAGTCTATAAGATAAGCGTCATGTGACATCTGCACTGTGTTCATGTGAAGGTATATTTAACTCTGTCTTTTCCAACGATACTTTTAATTTGTTTTATACACACTCAGAATTGTGTTTAATGTCTAGTATTGCAATAGATATCCATTGCACGAAATCGCTTGCAACTTCTTGCTCATACTGGCTGGGTTTTTTTATGTTTTTGCAGAATAATAGTTCAGAATTGATATCTTAATTTTGTAATTTATATTAGTTTCGGTTTTAATTTTAACAGGCCCTAAAGAAGAAGTACCGATCTTTTCTGATAAAGCATTTAAAGATCTGCTAATGAGCGGGGCGTACAAATGCTTTTGGAATAGAATTTTTTTGACTGGTCCATTTGCCGTGGGTAAAACGAGTTTAGCCAAAATTTTGGTTGGAGACGAGGCTCCAGAGGAGCGGAAATCTACGGACGGTATATGGATTTACTTGGGAAGGGCTGGAATGGACATAAAAGAACGTTGTTGGGTTTTCCTAAAGCATGGTATTTATAATTTAAGCAAATAAACAATAGTAATTGACTTATTCAAATGACACTTAAAGTAAGATGTAGAGTTCGAGCGAGAGATTGATGAATGTCCCAGAAAGAATAGGATTTTAACTTCAGGTCAAAGTTTGATTCAGAAATACATTTGTAACAACGTGTTAAGTCTGAGCTAATGATCAGTTACAGTTTGAATAGGATTCAAAGCAGAACGAAGTTTGAGTAAGAATAAGAAAAAAAACAAGGTCAAAGTTCGCGTCATGCCGAGGAATATGGGCAACTCGAGTTACACTTTGAATAAAACATAGACTTAGATTTAAAATTTGTGTAAGAGTAAAAATTTCAATATTTAGATTGCTAATCCCCCATTTTGACTGAAACAAATGATTTGATCATGATAACATGAATCTGATTTTAATAAAATCTTGAACTCTATTCATAATATAATACATGTCATTTGAGGCTGTTTTCTATGTCACCATCCTAGACTTTTAAGATTGGTCAGCATTCAAAACTAAAGACGCCGAATAAAATCAATGCAGATGTGGAAATGACTCCCAGAAAGTAAACATATTTACATGTTATTGATCCCTAAAATGAAAAAAAAAACTTTGAATATAGACAAAGATTGATTCTATTTCATCAAGATAAACATTTCAAATTTGAGTACTAAGGTGAAATCCTTTTTAACCGATTGATACGGAATGCTGGTAGTTTTCATTCAGTGTATTACGCTTGTGGCAATAGTTGAAAAACCTGCAGTCCAAGTTATGTATTGCTTTCTTTAATACATAGACAAGATTGCAGTGATAAACATCATATTGGACAATATACCAGACCACAAAAACTACCATCACTCAACTTCCAGAGAAAAGAAATAAACAAAGAAACACCAATTCACAACACCACATTTTCTAGAGAGCTCGACCATGTTAAGGCACAACACATGGTAGGGGAAGCAAGTTCCTCACATTAACCCCCGTCCTCTCGCCTCATTCACATTGTAATATTATACGTACTTCGATAGTGTATATATACTTAAAAGTAAAGTTGCGCTTTACATGTTTATGCGATTATACATTGTCTTACAAAGTTTGAAATTTAATTTCGAAAAAAAAAAACAACATTGTTTTTGATGAATCAGATTATTCATTATTAGGAACCATATTGAACGCAACAGTTCAAAGCTTACTCAGGAGTAAAAAAGTGACAGCTACAGCAGGTGCTGTTAAATCAGTTGATGACATAGAAGATCCAGGTGCAGTAAAACATAGCGAGGAGACGAAGAATCAAGATGATGTTACATCTATTCCGAATGCAGGTGCAATAACACAAAGCAGGGACATGTCAAACCCAGGTGCTCTTAATTCTCAGGACAATATTCCCCGTGCTGTCAAAAAGAAGTCAAAGCTCCAAGCTTTCCTTGATCTCCCAAATCGAATACAGAAAGCATTCAAAGGTACAGTTGTGTTATTATAATGTGTGAATATGCAAATGAATCATATTCATTTTGAAAGACAAATGTATTATATTTTATGAAAACAATGGTCTTCAGTTGTGCTTCTTTAATCATAAAAATGGGGCAGATATTCACAAGGGGTCAATTTTTTAAATTAGTCGAAGACATTATATTGTAAATAAAAAAGATTTAAAGACAAACACGTACAACAGGAAGGTGTATTGATCTCTTTGAATCAGTATAAGGTACTTTAAACTTTGCGAACACTTGCTTACCTGTCATTTCATAGTTTTGTTGCACCTCTAATTAGAGGATTTTTGAAAATCAGTGATGTAGGTATTGTACTGACTGCATACGATATAATTTACCCTTTTTTACTGGGGATTCAGTATGATTCGTGGGATATTAAATCAATGTTTATTTCGTGGGTATTCGTGAATTAACCTATTATTCTATTTTGTATGAATAGGTTGGCATATACATTTTGAGAATTCTTTTGGTTTAGAATGCGTTATTTTTATCGTAAAAGCAGAAGAGTCAAAGTTAAAAAATGCAATTGCATATTCAAATAGACTTTGAGTACATAAACTTTAGCTTATCATATTATCATATGTATATGTAGTTGAAAGGACAGACGTTTCCTTTTAATTTGGTGTCCGTCACATCAGATGAGCTTTGTTTCCTTCAAAATTACCCTGTACTGTTTCCCTGTTCTTAAAGAATTTGATAAATAAAAGTAAAATTTTCAAAAATACCGAACTCCCTGAAAAATTCAAAACAAAAAGTCCCTAATCAAATAAACCATAGAGAGAAACTGTCAGTAGGAAACTAAGATGTACAGATAATTCATCATGGCGAGAATCATCAGTTGACCTTAAAGGAGGTATTGCCTGGAATGTTTTGTTTTTATCATTTTTGTACTTTTGTAAAAAAACAACTCCTGTAGATAGGGAAATTATCTGCCGAATGAGAATTATGGCAAAATTAAGTCACCTGCTATTTTTTAGCGTTGATCGTGTTTCAGGAAAATGGTCATTGTTATATTATAGTTCGTTTCTGTGTGTGTTACATTTTAATGTTGTGTTTCTGTTGTGTCATAGTTCTCCTCTTATATTTGATGTGTTTCTCTCAGTTTTAGTTTTTAACCCGGGTTTGTTTTTTTCTCTATCGATTTATGAATTTGGAACAGCGGTATACTACTGTTGCCTTTATTTCTTAGACTTCAAAGATTTTTTTTAAATTCTTACTGTTTTGACATAAACTACTGAAAATAAAGAACAACTGTATATATCAAAGATAAATAGCAAAGTAAGATCTACAAATTAGGCAGATTGCCTGAAGTATTCACTCAACTCCCTTAAATATTGAATTTGTCACAAATTTAGTGTTTGACTTTATATTTAGAAACTACAATAGATAAACAAAAACTCGGTCTATCAAAAATAAACAGGAAGATCAGGTTTTGGCCATCATAATATCCGTTTCCATTTCTGTTGGATTGTACTAATTTCTAAAATAAAATGCAGATGATCATTACAAGCGCCATGGAAGTAAAGTGTTGTTATCATTGAAAGTATTCAAATTGCACACATGTTTCATTTGAGATCATAAAAAAATGTACAACTATGCTTTTAGAGTTCAATGACAGACGTGTGATACGTGTGATCACGTGACACACACGCGTATCTGAACAAACTTACAAAACCACCTTTGTTGAACTTTACATGATTTTAAAGTTATTCCTTCCTGCAAAAAGTAAAATGTTTCTTTATAGGTAAAACACCCTCAAATATTGAAACTCCAGATGACACACGTGCAAAGATGGAAGACACTAAGAGAGACGAAAACTTGACTGCCATAGATATGTCAGAACAGGACATTATCAAGCTTGTCCGTTCTCAATGCCATAAAGGGGACTACGAAATGGTAATTGTACCTATTGATTTGTGGGATTTTGGTGGTCAAAAAATCTACCACATGACCCACCAACTTTTCGTTACAAGCAGAGGTACATTTCTGCTGATCTTTAATGGCAGCAAAGATATACATGAAGACATACCAGATTATACAGAACTCCCCGGATGTCAGAGCCAACGTAATACAGCAGGTACATAAATATTTATAAATGAAATATATTGTCCATCTTATGTACAATAAATGAAATATATTGTCCGTCTTATGTACAAACAAAATATTGTCCCTTCACATACAAAAAGGATTTTGCCCATTTACATACAAAGAATATATTGTCCATTTATATATAGATAGCATATTTTAAGATGCATATCTATGATGTATTCATATCTATCTGCTAGAACCGTAGTATTGCCACATTAACCAATGAAGTCTGTTTGACTCAAACAGTTTGGTCAATATAACGGTATTATACCCACCATTCTGTCATACATTGTTAGCTACATATACACACAGAGTAAACCCACTATTTTCTACCGGTGTTCAAAAGTCATAAATCGATTGAGAGAAAACAAATCCGGGTTACAAACTAAAATGAGGGAAACACATCAACTTTAACTACAACTTAACCCACTATTTTCTACTCATAATACCTGTAGAGGAATGTGATAGCTGATTGATTGGATTTACTTTGGAGTTCAGTATTTTGGTTATTATGATTATTTCATTGTTATAGTCGATTGAAATAATGAATAGTTGATTGCAAAACCAAAACTCTCTATTAGTGTTTTTCAACTTCACTTAACAAAAGAAGGATCTCTTACATTTCGACCCCATTTCGTCAAAAAGTCACAGCTGAGTGGGATCAAAACTGGATCGTATGACCTTATGGAGCTGTTGAAAATAAAGCATTACCTCAAAATGAGTTTTTAAATCATCTGTTATAAGTGGTTAATGCATTGTCATGCGTGTGACCATTGAACAAATGCTTTATGACTTTGTCTAGAAAAACCAGTTTATTTATTTTTCCTGTACCAAGCATATTTATTGTACACAAAGCAAGTCATTAAAAACCAGCTTAGCTACGTGTGTACAATGAATTCACACATTAATGACAATAAATCACATTTAAACTGTGAGTTTGGTCAATGGATTCAAATGGTGTGTCCTGTATTTTGACTAGACAAATTGCATGAGGCAACTCCTATTGTTTAAAAGGAATAAAGTGTCCTTTCAGTTCTTTAAATATATTTGTATAGGCTACTACACAAACGTAGGAGGCAAAACAGAAGTGTAATTTGACAGGGATCCATATTTTGAAAACAGCCATACAGACTTTTTTTTTTCAAACTTAACAAGGCTGATTATAATTTACAAGGTATCTTTAATTTAAATGATAAGATTTTAGAAGTTATAGTATTTCTATACCTATTATTTTGTTATACATGGATATAAATTCGTACTTTCAATATATATAAATGTATGTATGTTTTTTGTAGTATATCTTATCCATTGGGTCAATTCCGTTCTCACATATTGCAAAACGTTTGCTGAAAATGAAGAGTACCCGAAAATTTTGTGTGTGGCAACCCACAAAGATCTTGTCAAAGTACGTACTATAATGATTTTAAATTGTAATCTTTTTAATCTATATTCACTGTCATCTGCTGTTTCAAATAGTAAACCGCGTCTCGTTAATTGTTTTTTTTTTTTTTTTGGGGGGGGGGGGGGGGGGGGGGGGGGGGTTAATTAATCTTGTTATATTGTATACAGCTATATTTAGAAGAGGATTATACAGAACATTAAACCTCTTGGTGAACAGTAATACCTCTACAATGTCCTTCCAACTTAACATCAATACTGATTATTTAATGATACGACTGAAACAACAGAGCTGTATTACCTCTACAATGTCCTTCCTCCTTAACATCAATACTGATTATTTAATGATACGACTGAAATAACAGAGTTGTAATACCACTTCAACGTCCTTCCTCCTTAACATCAACACTGATTATTTAATGATACGACTGAAATAACAGAGCTGTAATACCTCTACAATGTCCTTCCTCCTGAAAATCAATACTGATTATTTAATGATACGACTGAAATAACAGAGCTGTAATACCTCTACAATGTCCTTCTTCCTTAACATCAATACTGATTATTTAATGATACGACTGAAGAAACAGAGATGGAATACCTCTACAATGTCCTTCCTTCTGAACATCAATAATGATTATTTAATGATACGACTGAAACAACAGAGCTGTAATACCTCTACAATGTCCTTCCTCCTGAACATCAATACTGATTATTTAATGATACGACTGAAACAACTGAGCTGTAATATCTCTACAATGTCCTTCCTCCTTACCAGCTTAACTCATTGACACGACTGAAATAATAGGGCTGTATTTAAAATTGTTTAATCTATGTTTATAATAGTGTGTTAACGAAGACCTTAGAATCTAAAAATAACAGAGCTCTATGTTTAATGTTTTGATCTATGTTTAGAATACCGTAAAATTTAGAAATTATTGCGTGGATTTATCATTGCGATTTTATTATTTTAGACTAAAATGCAATTTTAAAATATGCAATATTGACACAAATCCTGTTTTATTCATGAAAAAAAAATAACTCAGAATGCGAGTTTAAATCATTGCCATTATAACCCTGTCGCATGTTCGCAATAATAAAACAATCGCATTTATTTCTGAATTTACAGTAGAGTGATAACAAAGACACGATACTATGAAATAACACAGCTTAATGCTATATATCATGGATAAATTTATGCTTAGAAAAGGGGGTTAACAAAGACCTGAGACTTTTAAATAGCAGAGCTTAAAATATTAAGTTTTAATCTGTGTTTAAAGTACGGTATAACGAAGACCTGAGACTCTAAAATATCAGAACGTTATGTATAATGTTTTGATCTATGTGTAGAATAGAGGGTTAAAGAAGACATGAGACTTTGAAATAGCAGAGCTGTATATCTAATGTTTTGGTCTATGTTTAGAATAGGGGGTTAACCAAGACACGAGACTTTGAAATATAAGAGCTTTATATATATCATGCTTTGATCTACGTTTTAAATACGGGCTTCTGAAGACATGATACACTGTGATAACATGACTTTGTATATCATTATTTTATCTGTTTTTCTTATGGCTGTGGCCTGTTATATATGTTTGGCATGTCCAAAAACATGTACACTTCTAGCCGTAATGTGTTTGTGTATTGTAAAGTTTTCTTACTCATTGAAGAGTACACGTTTTACAAAATGTCTGATGTTAATAGTGGCGCTAGAACAGAACGACATAATTCCTCATTGTTATGGTGCAATACCCACCAAATCATAATACGTCACATCCGGTTGCGTACGAAAAAGGTTCGAAAAAAGTATTTACTTGAATTTGACAGTTGTATGAAATTAGTCCTTCATTGCATTGCAGTAACATATTTCTGAGTGATAAAAATATATCTGGGTTCAAAACATCATTCTTTTTTGTTTGGTATTTCTATAGGTTATTTTGGAAACTCGAGGTTACATGGTTACTAAACCTTGTACACAGAAAAAAAGGGTGAAAATATGGTTGCTTAACTACCAGTGATGGTCATTATCTTATATGCAATGAAATGTTATGTGAATTTTACACTGTAGTACTGAACAGAATAAAACTCATGCCAAGTATTACTTTATTTGAAACAAAGATAAATTCTGCACATTTTTTTTTTTAAACGTGCAAATTTAACAAAGACTAATACGGGAAAAAACAATGGTAGTATTATAGTTTATTGCAGAAACTGGATGAAAAAAGTCGCTGAATTTTCTATTCAACACGAAAAAAAGTATTAACCACAAAAGAAATGGCTCCAACAGATTAATGAGGAAGAAAGATTAAAAATGACACTCCAAAAATTTTATGGACACAATCACGAATTGGTTGGTGTATACGATGTGTCTGTGTCTAGACTAACTAATGACCTTTTTACAACGTCTTATATTGTGGTTTACCATCTACGTCATCTAGTCTGCTAAGTACCAAACGTGACCTATATTACTGGGTTGCCGAGAGTGAATTCGCATTGCTATTAGACGTGTCTCGGTATCTGTACATCCAAAATTCATGTATTTAGTTATGATGTGTCTTTTGTAAGTCTGGTTCGATATTGTTTTATGTCTTATCGGTTGTGATTTGAATTATATTTAGATTTTCTATCTGTGTGTAAAAAATAAGATAATTAATCAGCTATTCATTTTTTGATAATTTTAAATTTAATGCCACTATATGCACAGGAGTTATTTGTTTTACACTGTTTTCATTTAGAAGAAAAACCGACATGGTTAAATAATACAAATAATTACACAATTATTTACTTCATTCTGTTTTAATATTCTTGGCAATTGTTAGAAAAGAAAATCATAAAATAACACCATTACAAACTTAATCCCAATTGTATATTTTATTTTTAGAAATTTACATGTGACGTCATTTTTTTGTGGCGTTGATACATTCGTGTGACGCATAGTTTATAATTCTATTTTTGTGTACTGTGTGTGGAAGATGGCCGTTGTTATTTTGTGGTTTACATGTTGTAACATGTGTAATGTACTGTTACATTATTTATTTACGTATTTCTTTGTCCTGAGTGTTATTTCATTTATTTGTACTGTATTACTGTCACGTAATTTTACCGGGTTTTTTAACATTGCTATATAGGCAGGAGGTTTAGCTAGCCATAAAACCATGTTCAAACCACCATATTTGTCTCAATATGTCCTGTACCAAGTCAGAGATATTACAGCTGTAATCAATTAGTCCGGTTCTATGTATAATTGCGTTTATTTTTTATAGCAGCTCAGTTTTTTTCGGTTATTCCGTTGTTTTCCTCTTATAGTTAATGTGCTTCCCTATGGTTTGGTTTGTGAGCCGGATTTCTTTTTGCTAAATCTATTTATGGCTATTGAACAGCGGTATACTAATGTTGCCTTTATTTAACCTCTCGTGATAATTTGGTATCGCTTTTTGGTTACTCTCGTTATTTGAATCAAATATTAATAATAAGCTCACAAACGGTTCGTTTATACTATACTGTACTTAGATAGCTCGACCTAATATCAAGCGTATCCTTTTCGCATATACTTTTATAAAAAATGTCATGTCTTTAAAAATCACAGCAAAGTTTAAGTAAGTTTTGTCGGGATAAGTTCATGGACACCACTATTTATTAAAGTTAAAAGGGTGATACAGAAGACACTAGGCTCTGAAAAAAATCAGGGCTGTATATGTTACATTATGATTTTTGTATATTACAGGGTGATGTAGAAGAACAGAGATGTTCATTGGAAAACTCAATCGAAGCACTCTTTCAAAACCATGGAGGAAAAAAACATCTTCAATATAAACCACTTATATTTGTGAATGCAAGAAACAAGGATGACGAAGAAATAGTCACATTAAAGAAGCAGTTGGTAGACGTTGCATTGGACCATCCTCGCTGTGGAGAACTGATGCCAGCCAAGTTTGTACCCCTGGAACTTCAACTAGCAGGAAAAGTAGAGGAAAACAAGAAAATACTTACAATGGATGAACTGAATGAAATCAACAAGCAAAACGACAACATGGCTTTAACCCCTGCTCAGCTTAAATCATTTCTAAAGGTTAACCATGCTCTGGGAAAACTTATCTACTTTGATGAAGCAGGCCTGAGAGATAACGTTATAATAGATCCTGTGTTTTTGGTGGATGTACTACGTTCTATTGTCACTGATGACCAGTTTTGGCCAGAGCACCTCAAAGAAATGTTAAAAGCTCTCAAAGATAGCGGAAAACTGTTGAAACAGGACTTATATGAAATATGGAAGCAAGACTGTTTTCGTGAGGTCTGGGCACATAACGATTACATCGTAGACATGTTACTTCATTTGGATATTATTTGCAGACAAAAAGACGATGAAGCTGGATCAGACTTGTTTTTGGTGCCATGCATGATAAGTACCAAAAGAGAAGAGAGCCAACAGATAGACCATAACAGAAGCATATATCTGGCTTATAGGTTTAAGGAGAAAGTTGTACCACCTGCTATTTTGTACAGGTTCATTGCCACCTTCATATCAATGTGGAAGTTGAGGGTCAGTGCTAAAACCAGTCGTTCGATGCTCTTTACAGACAGTGCTGATGTTACAATTGACGAGGAACACGATATGAGATTTGACATTCGGGGAAACAGATTTATAGTTTCTCTTTCACACCAAGAAAACAAAATCTCCATTGTACCAACAATTGCATCTACAGCTCAGGAATGCCTTACACATGCTATTACAAACATTTCTAATTTCTATTTCTCAGTTTCAGAGGATTCTGCTTGTACTAGAGATTTACCATTTTCCATTCAAATTGGTATTGTTTGTGGTACAGACCTTTGCTTTTTTGACCACACATTGTCATATAAGGAGGAATGGAAATGCCCGGATCACAATACAAAACACAAAACTAATATTGTGTCCAGATGGTTTGCAGACAAGGTAAATCTTTCTTCATAATTTATGACAGTTTTGTTGTTTGAGTATCTGAACATAGTTATGCAGTAATATGCATAAGCTTATACAGTAAATTCAATTAAGAATTGAATTCTTCTTTTTGTAAATTCATTGGGGTGTAAAAGCGTGAACTGAAGTACATTTTGTGCAAGCGCTTTCTAAGTATGTGTGCACGGTCAACACTTTTACAACCCTATACAATTACTAAAACAAGCATTCAATACGTATATGTATAATTACATCTTTTTACTAGGATCATGCAAACACGAAGTCAATAAAGTTTCTCTTTTATTGTGGAAGCTCGTGTCATCATGAATGTTACAATGAAGGTTAATTATAGAATGACGCGAGATTGTTATTAGTCAATCAAAATTACGTATTATAACGAAACATACTTGTAATGTTATAATTCATCTTTTAGGAAATTATTTCATAAACTGTTCGCATGGTTTGGTCTGTTTATTGTATACTATAAGCAGTAGGTCAACTATATTCAATTAGTGGAATGATTGTCAGGTGTACATTTATTTCAGGCATGGTTTATCTGACATTAACCTCATTTTCTTTGTTAATATGCTTCTTGAAATTTAACTTAATATTTGGGGCTATCATCATAAATTCAATGGTAGTAATGAAGGCGAGACATTTCAGCGTATGAACTCTTGTTTATAATAATAACAGGGCAGGTGTTACATCGGGAGCAGGATCTGCTAACCCTTCTCGAGCACCAGAGGCAATCGATTAATTGTGTTGGTGTTCGAGCTGCTCTTTGTCCGGTTTTCTATGTTTTGTCTCGTACACCTTTAATTGGCTGTCAGCTGTTTTTCGTTGTTTTTTGACATGGTCCCTTTGATACCTGCCGCCTATTGGTTTTATTTTTCATATTTTATGTTCCACCATACTAAAAAATAATATCTGTACCTCCATCAGATAAATGTGAAGACATCATCTCGGTAACTAATAGTTTTATAACTCTTATCTTACAGTTACATACAGAGGACGACAGATGCCCTGATGATTGTTCTGGTAAGAATTATGAAGTTATATTTTGCAACACCTCGACTCCTGTCAATATAAGAGATTTACAACCTGGTATACACCAATGAGACTAGACAAAATGTGCAATGAAGTTATACGATTGTTGACATTGAAAAATGAGTTTATACAAATATTTGCATAACATTACTACTGAAAAAGAACCTTACTGGCAAAAATAATAAGCTAGACAAGATATCCAAGTCATAAATGGGGAACGCATCAGTCAACTCCCTTTCTGAATACATCTATAGGCACTTGTTTCTTGTTTCTTAATGTTATATTCACCAATGTGATTCTTTGTTTTATAGTAGATTTAAATTCATACTAAAGTATGAATTTACGTTAACTCCCTTTTAGAAATAACGACATTAAATGACAATCTCTTCAAGGTTTTATACTGATGCCAATTGTTTATTTTAGCAGAAAAAACTGGCAAAAGCAATACCTATCAACCATTACAATCTACAAATAAGTAAGCAGGATTGAAAACATCTGTCACTCCCTTAAGGAGTGTTTGCCCTTAACAAGTCCTCTATACAAGTTTTTGCGTTTTTTTTTTGTTTTTTTTTTATTTTGCCGACAATATCGAGAGTAAATAGAATTAAACTGTCCGTACCAATTACCATCAGCCAATAGGATCTACATTACGTCAAGGCTGAGAACTTTAGTTGACTGAAACACGGAATTATGACCCGGAATGACTCGTTTTTGAGTTTTTTGCCGAAATTATATGTAAAAGATATAGTGAAATAGTCAATAGCAATACCGATCAGCCAATAAGATCTGAAAATAAGTTGGTGAGGCATAAAGCACAATGAAGTTCCCTATTGGAGTTATGCCCTTTAGTGAGTTTTGTTGTTGATTAATCTGCTCGGTTGTACGGACAGTCTAGGGATATGGAAACACGTATGAAACCTAGACTATACTTGATATACGGTGTCTTAGTTCATAAACAATAATCAACAAGATAAGATTTTGACCCATAAAATTCCATTCAACACAAATATATTTGTATTGCATTTAGTTCAATCTGATGCAATAATGTCAGGTAAGCAATTTTGACTCTTTTTTATTATTTACCATTGAACAATAAAATGAAGGAAATAGTATACATCAATAAGATATAGATAACAGCTCCGGCACATCGTAAGAAATAGTGTCAAGAAAAAGGTGACAATAATATAGACGGAAAATAAAAATAATGTGACTTGGCATACAAATAGTCAAAACAGTACTATTTCATGGATAACGGAATACAGTTTAAGTGTAATTAGAAGGTAGAATTCAATATTAAAGTTATCCTGGGATTCCGGCGATCAAATGAGAAATTACTTGTAATGTTAGTACTTGTTTACTTGAGTTGCAATATTTACAGGCTTAGACAATGTATGGTTAGACCGTCAGCCTGAAGACAAACACCTTGGACGACTAGCAGCTAAACTAACAAACGAAGACACAAGGAAAATATATATGTACTTAAAAGAAAAAGGACCAGCCCTACAATGGGAAATTATCAACGAATCAAACAAGCGAGGAGGGTTTGATGTAAAACTTAGTGCTCTATATGATTGGAAGAAGAGTTCCAAATATGCTTCATTCAAGCAGCTACAAAATAGTTTGAAAGAGGAAAATATTGACATTCACAAACTATGTCAGGTACACATTTTTTTATTTGCATTACACCATGATGTGATTAATCATGTTTTTTTTCTATATTTCCATCAAACGTTTGAAAATAATTTGAAATTGTGTATCCATATATTGAAACTCGACTTTTGTTTACTACAATTCTATTCTCATACACATTGGTGTTTCTGCAAGATGCTCATAGTTCGAGTATTAACTGCAACTGTTGCAGTGTTCACCTTTTGAAATAAGATAGTGGTGTCATTATATATGGATTGTTTGATGCCGGCGCATAAATCAATGTTCGGTTTATTGCTATCTTTAAATTGTACAGTTTACATATATTATGATATGTTTGGCTTTGACAACGAAGTATGACGTGTATCATTTTCTATTTCATTCTTTGTTATTTCAAAATAGTCTAAAGAGATGTTGTTTGATTCTTTATAATTTCAAGATAGTCTAAATAGATGTTGTTTGATTCTTCATTGTTTCAAGATAGTCTAAAGACATGTTTTTTTTTATTCTTTATTATTTCAAGATAGTCTAAAGAGATGCTGTCTGATTCTTTATTGTTTCAAGATAGTCTAAAGACATGTTTTTTTATTCTTTATTGTTTCAAGATAGTGTAAAGAGATGCTGTCTGATTCTTTATTGTTTCAAGATAGTCTAAAGACATGTTGTTTGATTCTTTATTGTTTCAAGATAGTGTAAAGAGATGCTGTTTGATTCTTTATTGTTTCAAGATAGTCTATAGACATGTTTTTTTTATTCTTAATTGTTTCAAGATAGTCTAAATAGATGTTGTTTGATTCATAGTCTAAAGAGATGTTGTTTGATTCTTTATTATTTCAAGATAGTCTAAAGAGATGTTGTTTGATTCTTTATTGTTTCAAGATAGTGTAAAGAGATGCTGTTTGATTCTTTATTGTTTCATGAAAGTGTAAAGACATGCTGTTTGATTCTTTATTATTTCAAGATAGTGTACAGACATGTTTTTTGATTCTTTATTGATTCAAGATAGTCTAAAGAAATGTTGTTTGATTCTTTATTGTTTGAAGATAGTCTAAAGAGATGTTGTTTGATTCTTTATTATTTCAAGATAGTCTAAAGAGATGCTGTTTGATTCTTTATTATTTCAAGATAGTCTAAAGAGATGCTGTTTGATTCTTTATTATTTCAAGATAGTGTTAAGAGATGTTGTTTGATTCTTTATTATTTCAAGATAGTCTAAAGAGATGCTGTTTGATTCTTTATTAACTTCAATTGTGTAAAGAGATGCTGTTTGATTCTTTATTGTTTCAAAAATAGTCTAAAGAGATGTTGTTTGATTCTGTATTGTTTCAAGATAGTCTAAGGAAACGTGTCTGATTCTTAATTGTTTCAAGATAGTGTAAATACATGTTGTTTGATTCTTTATTATTTCAAGATAGTCTAAAGAGATGTTGTCTGATTCTTTATTGTTTCAAGATAGTCTAAAGAGATGTTGTTTGATTCTTTATTGTTTCAAGATAGTCTAAAGAGATGTTGTTTGATTCTTTATTGTTTCAAGATGGTGTAAAGACATGCTGTTTGATTCTTAATTCTTTCTAGATAGTCTAAAGACATGCTGTTTGATTCTTTATTGTTTCTTGTTTAGTATGTATTGCTATTGTCCCCGTGTATCATTTGATACTTCATTCTGTATTGTGTCAAGAAAGTATAAAAACATGCTTTTTTGATTGAAGTTGCCTTTATCTGATATAGAGTATGATTCAATTAAATTGAATAATTCACAATCATATTGTGTAGATTAAAGTAACATGAATCGACAAATATATAGCATGGAAGCTTTCTTTGTGATACCATATACTGAATAAGCCATAATCATATTGTATAGGTTAAAGTTATACAGACCGACAAAAAAACAACATGAAAGCTTTCTTTGTTATACCATATACTTAATAAGCCATAATTATATTTTATAGGTTAAAGTGATAAAGACCGACAAAAAACAACATGAAAGCTTTCTTTGTTATACCATATACTTAATAAGCCATAATCATATTGTATAGGTTAAAGTGACATAAATAGATAAATATACAGCCTGGTAGCTATCTATGTAATACCATATACTAATTGTGTTAGATATAAGGGAAATACGTCAACCGAAATTTTTTTTTTTTATATCAGATGAGATGAAACATTCTTGATCTGGAAAAAAACACATCTCTCGGTTATCGTTTAGACGTCGATTACAACAATACGATACGATAAGCCCTGTTAACTACGACTTCTTATAACGTCTGTGTGTATGATAACAGGCTTCGATACAAATGTATTAAAGATTGGTTTGGACAAAAAACAATAACAACATTATGAGCTAATGCATTCTCATATTTCTGTGATACGCTTGATATTTTCAAAGTGTTGTCAACAGGTGGTTTTAACATGTATTGCACAATTGTCATTTCAGATTTCAAGAGAAGTTGAAAAAGAGTTGGGTGAGTAATAACTTCAAGTCTTTAATAAAATCAATAGTTTCAAGTAATGGAAACGTTCAAAACTGCGTTGGTTTGTAGTTTGTACTGTTCATTCTTTCATTATATCTCATCTTTTGGGAGCGGGCATGTATTTTGTATTGATCACTACTCCTGAAATGCTATATAGTATGTTGCGACCACTTCTATGATATACTATAATTAAGTGGAGGTGTGTCAAACATATGATGATAAGATGACGGTTTTACAAATCATTATATAGACAAGTAAGTCTGTGAAAAATATTATGATTGTTTTCTAGGTCTGTAAAAAATTTATGTTGAGACGGATTTTCGACTTAGAATATAATGTCATGACGGTCTGTAGAAAGAAGTAAATTACTATTAAGGTCAAACAAATATGTTAATGACATAACAAAAACAAACAATGACAAATATGTCTGATAACATTATTTTTATTACATGAAAGATAAGATCACAAGAAAGTCTAACAAAAACATTATGGCAACATAAATATCATACACAAGTATAATGCTGACATGAATAGCAATAAAACATAATGATTACCTACAAAACTTGAAAAAACCCTTATGATTAGGTAAACGTCTGTCAAAAATACTTCAACATGAAGGTCTCACACATATAAACCATAGCATGAAGATCATCCAAAATAAACCAAGATTGCATGAAGGTCTCATAAATATTTATCATTTCATGAAAGTCATTCAAAAATAATAAGATTACATGAAGTCTAGACATAGTATGCTGACATGACAGTTCAACAAAAAATATTACGATAACATAAAGGTATTGTCTAATTTTAGTCATGACGTGAAGGTCTGTCATTTTTATGAAACTTGTCAAATGTATTTCAGACCAACCAAGAGACAAGTTGATTCTTAGACCGTCAAGTTCAAACATACAGCAACTACCTGATCATGTTGGTAATCAAACATTCCAGCTTGGAATAGAACTTGGGCTATCTATTGTTGATATGCAAAAGATTGAAAGATCCCATGTTACAAATCTTCATGGTCAAACAGAGGAAGTTCTCAACCGATGGATTAAACTTCCAGAAGCTACATTTGAAGTTTTAGAGAAGGCTCTTCATCGCCTTGAATTGTCTAGTGTTTTGTCATACTTAACTTATGATGAAGAATTGGGGGAACAAATGAAAATAAGAATAGATGAACAAGTTAGAGGTGTGTGCAATTATATATAAAATCTCATTTATATTAATGTATTGTAATAACTCTAAAGTATTTTGACAAATAAGCTGATGTTTGAATTAAATAACATTCTTTCTTCATCATTCATGGATCAGCTATCAGTGTTAATAATGTTTAGATTAGTTTCAATTATTTTGGGCATATAAAATCATACTTAAATCTGTAAAAAAAAATACAATGTTTATTTATACTAAACTCTCTGTAAAACAGACATAAGTAAATGTATTGTTGTTAACGAAAATATTACTGTCGCCATGTACATCAGCAAAACGGATATTGAAAAAAATAAACAATTAACATAATAAAACTCAAATGATTGGTCATTTAATGGTGTGATTGATATGTAGAGAAAAAAAACGAAAGTATTGTAAAAATCCTCCCCCCCCCCCCCGCTTCCCCATTAAACAAAAACGAATGATCACTATGAAAATAGTAATTACAATCTAATAAGATTTTATTGTTATCATTTTATTTCAGATAAAATTATACTGGACATTCAAATCAGTCAGATTTTAGATTATATGATGACACATTTGGTGATATCATCTGATGACAGGCGTCGCATTGAGCAGCATGCTGGGCAAGATGATCAGAATAAAGCATTGCTTTGTGAAGTCATTGAAAGGGGAGAACCTACGTATACTGTTTTTGTTGATGCACTACGAACAAGTGGATACACAGATCTAGCGAATGAACTGAAATGTGATTCACAGGAAGAAAGCTCAATTACAGCATTAGAGCATGCTGAAAATAAAGGTACATATATGACCTGCCTTTTGGTGTTCTTTGGAACGTTAGGGTTATATGAACACTTTATCCAGCTGGGATGTATAAATACGTAGAAACGTTTGGGATATATGAACACTATATCCAGCCTGGATATTTAAATACTTAAACACGTAAGGGAAATATCAACATCATAACCAGCGGAGATGTATAAATACGTACATTAGTTAGGGATATCTGAACACTATATCCAGCTGGGATGTGTAAATACCTAGATTAGGGATATATGAACACTATAACCAGCTAGGATGTATAAATACGTAGACTTGTTATGGATATTTGAACACTATATCAAGCTAGGATGTATGAATACGTCGACTAGTTAGGGATATATGAACACTATACCCAGCTGGGATGTATAAATACGTAGACTCGTTAGGGATATATGAACACTATATCCAGCTGGGATATATACATACGTAGAAACGTTTGGAATATATGAACACTTTATCAAGCTGGGATGTATAAATACGTAGACACGCTAGGTATATATGACCCCTGTATCCAGCTGGGGTGTATAAATACGTAGAAACGTTTGGGATATATGAGCACTATATCCAGCTGGAATGTATAAATACTTTGATTCGTAAGGGATATATGAACATTATATCCAGCTGGTATGTATAAATAGGTAGACTTTTTAGGTATATATGAACACACTATCCAGCTGGGATGTATACATACGTAGAAACGTCAGCGATTTATGAACATTATATCCAGCTGGGAAGTATATACACGTAGATACGTAAGGGATATATGCACACTATATCCAGCTTGGATTTTTAAACACGTAAAAACGTTAGGATAAATAAACACTATATCCAGCTGGGATATATAAACACGTAGAAACGTTTAGGATCTATAAACACTTTATCCAGCTGGGATGTATAAATACGTAGAATCGTTAGTGATATATGAATACTATATCTAGCTGGGATGTGTGAATACGTAGGAACGCTTGGGATATATGAACACTAACAGTATAAATCCAGCTTGGATGTATAAATACGTGGAATTGGTAGGCATATATGAACACTGTATATAGCTTGGATGTATAAATACGTGGCATCATTAGGGATATATGAACACTATATCAAGCTGGAATGTATAAATACGTAGCAACGCTCGGAATATATGAATATTATATCCAGCTGGGATGTTTAAACACGTAGATTCGTAAGTGATATATGAATACTATATCCACTAGGTATCATTTATACGTAGAATTGTTAGGGATATATGAACACTATATCATGCTGGGATGTATAAACACGTAGAAACGTTAGGATATATGAACACTGTATCTAGCTGATATGTATAAACACGTAAAACGTTAGGATATATGAACACTATATCCAGCTGGATGTATAACTATGTAGGAACGCTTGAGATATTTGAACACTCTATTCCAGCTAGGATGTATAAATTTTGAAACCTTAAGGATAGATGAACTCTATATGCAGCTTGGATGTATAAATACGTTGACACGTTAGGGATGGATAAACACTATATCCAGCAGGGATGTATTTATATGTATAAACGTTAAGAATATATGCAAACTCAGGTACAGAGAATGTATTGTCCTGTTTTATTTATATTTTTGTTGTGTTTAATTTATTAAAGCAATTTGTTTTATATGTTACATTGTATATTTAGTTCTTTCAAGTAGTCTTGCTCTTATCCATATAATATGAAAATAACAATATCTTATATATGAATACTCTCATATTTCCACAAGACAGGACATATTTAAAATGTACACATCGTACATTTGTAAGTCTTTAGCACATACCTTTATGCAAGGTATTTACATTAAAAGAGGGACGAAAGATACCAGAGTGACAGTCAAGTAACTCATGCTTATTAGGACATGTATCATCTCAAGAAAGACTGACCCTACCGTTTTTGTTGGTTGTATGTATGATAAAGATATTGAGTATTTTCACTCTTAAGTAGCATTGATTTCGAAAAGTATATTATTGATGTCAGAAGTCTAACGCATGCGCGATATGAGTCAAAATATATTCGCTGGAATAATGAAGTCAAATAAGTTTAAATGTCCCCGCATTGTATTGAAATGTTGGTGGCTGTAAACAACTGGGAATACTTTCGAACTTATCGGACCACAAACACTGCTCTACTGAAATGAAATTAAAAACAAAAACAAAAAGGAAAAATTAATGATAAAAATATCCCGACTTGGTTAAAGAAGTAAATCTGGTGAGATTTTAAAAGTTTTACTCGAAATCGGCCATCCCCCCTTTCCCAATGTGGCTATTTAAAAAAAAAAGACACAGTTGCACAGTACAGTTACCAACAGGATAGTGTTTACATTTGTATATGTGTTATGTTGTGTATGACATAATTGAGTGAGTTAAATTAATGAATGATAAAATGTGACAGAAAATCCGTCACATTAATATTTGAAAACTACTAAATTTAGAGGAGTATAAAGTTTCGTCGATTTTGTTTTGCTTGGCCGTTCTTGGTAAGGAGTGAGTTCTGCCCCAGGCAAAGGTGTTATGACTCCTTTCCGTTTTACTAATTTCTTAAATGAGGAAGATACATACAAGATTAAAACACTGCTGGTCTTCATGTTACACATAAATGGCTTTAGTTAGGTTGTTTACATGTTTAAACTACACTTTGTTCATGTTACCTATTGCAATTACTTGGTCTCCGTTTTTCTGTATGACTGTTCACTTTTACATACTTTGTTTTTATAAGAAACCGAAGTTGTGTTTTATGAATAGTAACTCACATTGGTTAAGTTTAGAGATTGTTGAGGTAAAGGAACAAAAAACGAACACAAAAAGACTTATAAACTTCTTCTAAAAGGTTACCAATTCAACACTGTAATTAGATCTTTGAATATTGTTTTATTGGTATAACTATTGATTGTCTTATCAGTTATGTAAACACATACTAAATAGTATTGTTATACACATATGCCCTTTAATGGTACTACAATATGTCGATACCTTTAATGTGGCATTGCACGTAATCATATTTTTCTCTGACTGTTAAAGACGTCTTTACACTAAATGGGATGTTGGATGTGTACTGATTGATAATTCAGTCTTAGATACATGACTTTTTTCAATTAGTTGTAATTGGTTTTGAACTAGCTGTTAGTAACTGCGAGTTCTAAAATATGTACTTGGTGTTTTTTTTGTTGTTTGTTATGTGGGATGGATAAATACCCTCCCACGTCCGGTCAGTGTTTTTGTTAGATGTTGTTTTTTTCTGCTTTGTGTCGATCTGATGAGTTATGCCATTTTCAAACGATTGTTATAGTTTGATCTTATGCTGTGCTGTAACACCACTGTCTCCGGTTAGGGGAGGGTTGAACACACATGTTTAACCCCGCCACATTCTTTATACGCCTGTCCCTAGTCTGGAGCCTGTTTTTCAGTGGATGTCGTTTTGTTCATTTCTGTCATGTTTCTTTTCGTAAAATGTTTTGTTATACATTATGCAGTTAGTTTTCTCAATTGAATTGTTTCATATTTTTCAGCCTTGTATAGCCCACTTTATGGTAAATGTTTTTCTCATTGCTGAAGGCCGTACGGTTTCCTATAGTTGCTTCTATCCACTTCATTTGAACAGTGTTGGATAGTTGTCTCGTTGACAATCATACCACGTCTCCTTATTTTTATAAGTGTGTTTTTCCCATTTCATTTTAATATCAAGCCTCCCAAACCAAAGGTCTGGTCTCTTATTGTGTCTGTCCTTATTCTTATTAGGTCGCCTAAACCAAAGGTTTAGAATGGGATTGTGTCTGTCAAATCTCTTATCAAGTCGCAAAAGTCATTATACAGAGAATACTATTGTTTCATATTTAAATGGAAATACTAACCACGACTCTATTAGACCAGGATTTTAACAGATTTATTAAAAACATATGTTCATTTAAAGAACTACTCTACATCCATAATAGTAAATGCAGTATTTGACCTACTCTTTCACCAGTGTAGTAAAACGCTGTATTGATATTGAAACGAATCTTAAAATACTCCAAAATATTACTGTTATTAATCTTAATTAGATTCTTCTACTTTGTGTCATTTTTATAACTGTATATGAGGTGATGTTTCAAGCTGTAAAATATTTGTAGGATTGTCAGATTGGACTGTTCCGGTGTATAAAGTTCGTCTACAGAAGAACTATTCAAAGATCATTGACAGCATACAGCATGAGAAAATAATCGATCATCTGATATCACGTGATGTGATGACCATAGCTGATAGCCAAATAGTAAATGCTTGTCCTGCACAGGTACAAAAAAACAGGAAATTAATGGACATACTTTTGCATGGAAGTGAACATGGATTTATAGAATTCCTCATAGCTCTACGAGAAGACTCTGTTTATACAGCACTGGCAGATAAAATAGAAAACACAACAGTTGCTAGCAGTGATATAGCAACCATTCAGAATTGCTTCAAATGAACTGGAAGAGAGTAGGTCAAACGTATATGATTTTTTTGCTTGAAAACTAAACGTAACTTTTTATTTTCACGTAGCTGTTACAAATAGTCGAAGTTTGAAATGATTTGCAATCTTAAATGAATAAGTGCATTAGATACAATTATCGTTATATCCTTTTTGGTAAAGATTATGCTAATCGTCAGTTTAAAAGAATGATTTTGTAAAAGTTTAGAAAAAGATAATGTGGTATGATTGCCAATGAGATAATGCTCCACCACAGACTAATTGACTAGCAACTAGTTATGCCTTTGCACGGCCTCCAACAGTGAGCAAAACCTATACTGCATAGCAAGTTATAAAAATCCCTAAATAACAAATGTAAAACTATCCAAACGTGAAAATTAAAATCCTGATGTATGTGCATCGGAATACACGCAAAGTACATAAGATAGACTGGAATCAACGATATCTTCTGAGTTGTAATGCAGTTATTGATAATGTCGAATATGGTGCTATTGATTTTGTTATCAGTACATTATAATAATACTAAATATTTATGTATACAAATATGTACTTTTTAGGTACAACAATCTGTCGATACCTATATTTTGGCATTACACAAGGTCATGTTTTTCTCTGACTGTTAATGACATCTTTACGCTAAATTCATTTAATTTTGGGTGTGTACTGATTGATATTTTAGTCTTAGATGCATTATGATTTTTTTATTGGTTGTTGATGGCTTTGAACTAGCTGTAAGGCTGTCAGAAAATGCGAGTACTCTCAGATCTGTACTTAGTGTCTTTTTCGTTGCTAGGGATGAGGGATGGATAAATACAATACCATGTCCTGTCTGTGTATTTGGTTGATATGTTTCTGCTTTGTATCGATCTTATGAGTTTAACATTTTTCAACTGACTTGTATAGGTTGTTCTTATGTTGTGCTGTTACACCACAGTTTAGGGAATGGTTTGAGCGCTCACAAACATGTTTTACCCTGCCATATTCTGTATGTTCCGCTTCCAAGTCAGGAGCCTGTAGTTCAGTGGTTGTCGTTGGTTCATGTCTGTCATGTTTGTTTTTCGTAAATTGTTTTGTTTTATCAATTGAATTGTTTCATATTTTTCATGTCGGGGTCTTTTAAAGCCGGCTATACGATATGGGTTTGCCTCATTGTTGAAGGCCGTATGGTCGCCTATAATTGCTTACATCCACTTCATTTTAACCTGGTTTGATAATTGTTTTGCTTGCAATCATGCCACATCTCTTTATTTTTAAATTAATGACAGTCATAATCAAAACGACGAAGAGACACCAGTCTATAAATCTCTACACAAACAACTAAAGATTCATTACATATCTTATAACAGGAACCCAATGGTGAATGCCTGTGTTCCGAAAGGGTCAGCATTGATGACATTATATCATCCAATTTATTATCTAGTGTTACACTCAGGTGTTCCGAAAGGGTCATCATTGATGACATGTTATCATCCCATTCATTATCTAGTAGTGTACTAAGGTGTTCCGAAAGGGTCAGCATTGATAACATTATATCATCCCATTCATTATCTAGTAGTGTACTAAGGTGTTCCGAAAGGGTCAGCATTGATAACATTATATCATCCAATTCATTATCTAGTGTTGTACTAAGTTGTTCCGAAAGGGTCAGCATTGATGACATTTTATCATCCCATTCATTATCTAGTGTTGTACTAAGGTGTTCCGAAAGGGTCATCATTGATGACATTTTATCATCCCATTCATTATCTAGTGGTGTACTAAGGTGTTCCGAAAGGGTCAGCCTTGATGACATTATATCATCCAATTTATTATCTAGTGTTACACTCAGGTGTTCCGAAAGGGTCAGCATTGATAACATTATATCATTCCATTCATTATCTAGTGGTGTACTAAGGTGTTCCGAAAGGGTCAGCATTGATAACATTATATCATCCCATTCGTTATCTAGTAGTGTACTAAGGTGTTCCGAAAGGGTCAGCATTGATGACATTATATCATCCCATCCATTATCCGGTGATAAACGAAGATGTTCCGGAAGAGTCAGCATTGATTACATTATATAATCCCATTCATGATCCAGTGGTGTACTTAGGTGTTCTAGAAGGGTCAGCATGCATAACATTATATCATCCCGTGCATTATCTAGTGGTGTGCAATGGTGTTCCGAAAGGGTCAGCATTGATTACCTTATATCATTTCATTCACCATCCAGTGGTGCCCTATGGTGTTCCGGAAGGGTCAGCATTGATTACATTATACCACCCCATTTATTATCCAGTGGTTTATTAAGGTTCATGTCTGTCATGTTTGTTTTTCGTAAATTGTTTTGTAACAAATTAGGCCGTACGTTTTCTTAATTGAATTGTTTTATCTTTTTTTATGTTGGAGCCTTTTATAGCCGGCTTTACGATATCAGTTTGTCTCATTGTTGAAGGACGTATGGTCTCCTATAATTGCTTACTTCCACTTCATTTGAACATGGTTTGATAATTGTCTCGAAGGCAATCATGCCACATATCCTTATGTTTTTAATTAATGACAGTCACAATCTTAACGAAGAAGAGACACCAGTCTAAAGATCTCTACACAAAAAACTAAAGATTCATTACATATCTTATAACAAGAACCCGATGGTGAACGCCTGTGTTAACGAATCCTAGTATTGATAACATTATGTCATCCAATTCAGTAACTAGTGGTGTACTAAGGTGTTCCGAAAGGGTCATCATTGATAACATGGTATCATCCCATTCAATATCTAGTGATGTACTAAGTTGTTCCGAAAGGGTCAGCATTGATGACATTATATCATCCAATTCATTATCTAGTGTTGTACTAAGGTGTTCCGAAAGGGTCAGCATTGATAACATTATATCATCACATTCGTTATATATTAGTGTACTAAGGTGTTCCGAAAGGGTCAGCATTGGTAACATTATATCATCACATTCGTTATATATTAGTGTACTAAGGTGTTCCGAAAGGGTCAGCATTGGTAACATTATATCATCACATCCATTATCCGATGATAAACGAAGATGTTCCGGAAGAGTCAGCATTGATTACATTATTTCATCCAGTTCGTTATCCAATAAGGTACTAAGGTGTTCCGAAAAGGGTCAGCATTGATAACATTATATCATTCCGTGCATTATCTAGCGGTGTTCTAAGGTGTTCCGAAAGGGTCAGCATTGATTACATTATATAATCCCATTCATGATCCAGTGGTGTACTTAGGTGTTCCGGAAGGGTCAGCATGCATCACATTATATCATCCCGTGCATTATCTAGTGATGTGCAATGGTGTTCCGAAAGGGTCAGCATTGGTTACATTTTATCATTTTATTCACCATCCAGTGGTGTCCTGCGGTGTTCCGGAAGGTTCAGCATTGATTACATTTTACTATCCAATTTATTATCTAGTGGTGTATTAAGGTGTTCCGAAAGGATCATCATTATTTACATTATATCATCCAATTCATTAACCAGTGGTGTCATAAGGTGTTCCGGAAGGGTCAGCATTGATTCATTTTATCACTCCATTTATTACCCGGTGATGTACTAAGGTGTTCCAAAAGGTTCAGCACTGATTACATTATATTATCCCATTCATTATCAATAAAAAAAACATATTTTGAAAGGAATTAATGTTTTCAAAATTTCGAAAATGGAATAATAACTGGTTATACTTTGATTTTTGTTTTAGATTAAATTCCCCTGATGATTACCAAATTGTGTACTCGTTTTCAATACCAGCTGTTGTTCGTCAACATCTCATTGTAATATGCCAAATAACAGAGGAAACAATAATTGGTAGACAACTAACATAAATTAACAAAATCAATTAACTGATTTGATGTGGATACATGTTCTACCTATTTATTATGTTACCCTAATATCATGTAGTTTTTGGTTTACAACTGATAAAAACAGGATTTAAAATATGTATTCCTAATAGCTGTGATATAAAGTTGCTATAGTAACTATGGAATTTTTGTCTAGAATTGAATAATAGTGTTTCTTTGTATATTTTCATTATCTGTGTATTCCATTATCTGTAGATTTTCCTTATCTGTATATTTTCATTGTCTGTCTATTCCATTGTCTGTATATTTTCCTTATCTGTATATTTTCATTGTCTGTATATTTCATTTTTTGTATATTTTCATTATCCGTATGTTTTCATTATCTGTATATTTTCATTATCTGTATATTTTCATTATCTGCGTATTTTCACTATTTGTATATTTTCCTTATCAGTATAGTTTCATTATCTGTATATTTTCAATTTCTGTATATTTTCATTGTCTGTATATTTTCATTGTCTGTATATTCCATTTTCTGTATAGTTTCATTGTCTGTATATTTTCCTTATCAGTATAGTTGCTTTATCTGTATATTTTCAATATCTGCATATTTTCATTGTCTGTATATTTTCATTGTCTGTATATTTTCCTTATCAGTATAGTTGCTTTATCTGTATATTTTCAATATCTGCATATTTTCAATTTCTGTATATTTTCATTGTCTGTATATTTTCATTGTCTGTATATTCCATTTTCTGTATAGTTTCATTGTCTGTATATTTTCCTTATCAGTATAGTTGCTTTATCTGTATATTTTCAATATCTGCATATTTTCATTGTCTGTATATTTTCATTGTCTGTATATTTTCCTTATCAGTATAGTTGCTTTATCTGTATATTTTCATTATCTGCATATTTTCATTGTCTGTATATTTTCAATGTCTGTATAATTTCATTATCTCTATATTCCATTATCTGTATATTTTCATTTTCTATATATTCCATTATCTGTATGTTTTCATTATCTGTATATTTTTATTATCTGTATATTTTCATTATCTGTATATTTTCATTATCTGCATATTTCAATATCTGCATATTGTCATTATCTGTATATTTTCACTTGAGTCTGCTTTTTGTTTATTTTTCGTCGTTAGACTAGATAATATGTTCATCTCTTGAAGTTGCAGGACAGATTGGAATAACATTTTGCAGGAATACCTGTATATACAGAAGACCATAATTCATTATTTTTCAAACACCTTTATTATAAGAACGTATGATTGTCAGATGCATATTTTTTAAATATATCTCTTGAAACTAGGAGTCGAAATGTTTAAAAATGTTTAAGCTTTCTTTTCTGAAACTTCTAGACTAAACTTGGTAGTCATTTTTATATGGAAGGTTTTGTAGAATGCTGTTTGTTTGTTATTGTTGTTTAAAGCTAATGAAAAGCATTTCTGTCACCGAAGATCTTAGATTTAAAGAGATGTATGACAAAGTCTGAATCGCCTGATTTTTCTCTATTCTTCTTATGATTACACCAGCAATTGTTTTTATTTGTCAGTGATTAATCATGGAGAGACCCTCTGTTAATGATCAATATTTGATATTCATCGGATTATAAACGTGAAACCATTGGTTGTACAAAGATCCAAAACATTTGTGCCAATTTCAACAAAATCTTGGCAGGCAATTGTGTGTTCTTGTGTCTGAATCTTTAGTTTTAGTTGTATTGTGACATGTTCGAAAGGCCAAGTGAGTTTTTCTCATCACTTAACGTCCGTCGTCCGTCATCGTCGTCCATCGTCGTCGCCGTTAACTTTTTACATTTTGAACTTCTCCTAGAGAACCACTGAATGGAATGCAATCACACATGGCATGAATGTTCCTTATGAGGTGCTGACCAAGTGTTGTTACTTTGTAGCGGATCCATCATCCAAGATGGCCGCTAACGGGGGACTTTGTTTAACATAGGACCCTATGGACAATACATACAAATGTCTTCTTTTAGAGAACCACTGAATGGAATGAAACCAAACATAGGATGAATGTTCCTTATGAGGTGTTGACTAAGTGTTGTTACTTTGAAGCTGATCCATCATCCAAGATGGCCGCCATCGGGGGACTTCGTTTAACATAGGACCCTATGGACAATACATACACATGTCTTCTTTTAGAGAACCACTAAATGGAATGAAACCAAATATGGCATGAATGTTCCTTATGAGGTGCTGACAAAGTGTTGTTACTTTGAAGCCGATCTATCATCCAAGATGGCCGCCAGTTGGGGACTTAGTTTAACATAGGACCCTACGGGAAATAATACAAATGTCTTCTTTCAGATAACCACTGGATGAGATGAAACCAAACATAGCATGAATGTTCCTTATGATATATTGACCAAGTTTTACTTTAAAGCAAATACATTATCCAAGATGGCCGCCAGAGAGTGACTTTGTTTAACATAGGACCATATGGGAAATACATACAAATGTCTTCTTTTAGAGAACCACTTATTGGATTGAAACCAAACATGGTATTAATGTTTTTTTTGATGTGCTGACCAAGTGTTTTTACTTTGTAGCTGATTTGTCATCCACGATGGCTGTCAGCAGGGGGGAGTAAGTTTAACATAGGACCCAAAGGGAACTACATACACATGTTTTCTTCTAGAGAGCCACTGAATAGAATGAAACCAAACATGGCATGAATGTTCCAAATGAGGTGCTGACTAAGTGTTGTTACTTTGTAGCCGAACCATCACCCAAGATGGCCGCCAGCATAGAACTTAGTTTAACATAAGACCCTATAAGAAGTACATACAGAAATACATAGAGCACTGAATGGAACTAAACATTGCATAAATGTTCCTTATGAGGTGCTGATGAAGCCCTTAATACAAGTATTTTTATAGATTGAGATCTACTGTAACTGCACCAATATCAAGAAAAGAAGATTTACACATGAGTCAACATGAGCAATATTGTAAATTGACATCTTTTTGGAGTTATTGTCCTTATAAAGCCATTTTCTACAATTTCAATGAATTTATTGGTAATTTCTGTAAACTTTACATAAGTCTTCTGCCTTTGATTGAATTACGGGGCCAATATTAAACCAAATTTGGCCTCAATCATTATTAAGGTTTCTGTTAAGATTTTAATCTATTTCTACATGATATCCAAAACAGAAGTAGAATCAGGTGAGCGACACAGGATCTTAGGAGCCTCTCGTTTACAATATCAGCTATACAGACTGATTGGGGTCTCTTGTTTATTTTTTTCAATATCAGCTATACAGACTGATTGGGGTCTCCTGTTTATTTTTCTTACAATATCAGTTATACAGACTGATTGGGGATTCTTGATTATTTTAATTTTTTTACAATATAAGCAATACAGGCTGATTGGGGTCTCTTGTTTATTTTTTACAATAACAGCTATACAGACTGATTGGGGTCTCTTGCTTATTTTTTTACAATATCAGCTATACAGACTAGTTGGGGTCTCTTCATAATTTGTCTTTCAATATCAGCTATACAGACTAATTGGGGTGCCCTGTTTATGTTTCTTCAAATATCAGCTATACAGACGAATTGGGGTTTCTTGTTTATTTTTTTCTTAAAATATCAGCCTTACAGACTGCTTGGGTTTCTCTTGCTTATTTTTTTTTACATACGAATTACATTGTAACTTTATTTTTTGCTGATTAATGGACGTAGTTTCTTTGCAATTAACACATGTAACATTTAACATGATTATTTGAAGGTACATACAGATAAGATTTAGGTGTATGGCAATTATAAAGTGTTGTCTTAAATTGTTTTGTCAACGCACAATTCAGTCGTGTTTAGTAAATACAGTATGTGCACTCTTTTTAAACAGTTAATGATCAATCATTATATGTTTCATATTGTATGGGACGTGGCATTTTACAACTGTTTATGCAGTATTTGTTTTGATGATGATGTTGAAGGACGTACCGTCACATCTGATCGTTTACTGTTTGGTGAATAGTTTTCGTATTGGTATACATTTCCTCATTTTTAGATCAACTTCATACAACTTCTTTCTATATCTTGTTCGCTAGTATATATTAGTGAAACGAAATGTATGGTATTCCTCGATACGACACCTATACAACAACAATAATAAATATAAGAAGATGTGGTATGAGTGCCAATGAGACAACCCTCCATCCAAGTCAAAATTTATAAAAGTAAACCCTTATAGGTCAAAGTACGGTCTTCAACACGGAGCCTTGGCTCACACCGAACAGCAAGCTATAAGGGTATATCCTTGTTTTGTTGGTTAATAAAACACATGTGGTTTAACACATTATTCCTGTTTTGACAAAATCAAATGACTGTTTAATATGCCTGATGAAACGTGACTTGTAACAGAAATTGAGACTTCTCTACGGATGTCTTTCAATCTCATTTTTACAGTAATAACAGATGATATTTTTATTATAAAAAAAAGATAACACGATAAAGGAGATACGTGGTTTGAATGCAATTTTGAAAAAAAAGTATCTAACTGGGTTAACTGTCGATTATGCTATATTTAGATAGCAAACGTATACTACAATCATATCTTTATCAGTAAGATAGATTTAAACCCATTCAATCAACCTGTTTAATAAAGATAGATTGAATCACAACACCCACGGTACTGTCATCATTAGACTGCACTGAAGATCTATGATTTTATCGACAAGCAATTGCAACTGAATAAATGATCCATATGCTCACTCATTTATTGTTTTATGTTATAAGTTATTCATTGTTTAAGACAGAAAGAACCTTACATGTATGTTGGTTTTATGTCAGTTATTCTTTATTTGAATCAACATGTTACATTTGTTTTCCTTTGCTTTTCAGTAATTCACTATGAAATATTTCTTTTTTTCATTTACATATCTGTGTATATAATTAGTTCGGTATTGGAATATGAGACTTACATTTATATTGTTTGTGTATCAATTATTTAGTACTGCAAAAAAGACCTCAATCAATGTTCCTTTGTATATAAATTAGTCGTTATTAGAATGGGCCTCAGGTGTATTTTCCTTTGTACATGAGTTATTTATTATTTGAATCGAAACCTTGCTTTTGTGTCTTTTTATGTAGAATATTCTTTTTTTTTAATGGGGGTCTTATATGTGTTTGCCATGCATCAATATGCCTTTGTATATAAGTTTGTTTTGTTTTTTTTTTATTTTAGACCTTACATTTATATAGAAATAAGACGATGTAGTATGAGTGCCAATGAGACAACTCTCCATCCAAGTCACAATGTGTAAAATGTAAACAATTATAGGTCAAAGTACGGCCTTCAACACGGAGACCTGGCTCACACAGAACAGCAAGCTATAACGGGCCCCAAACGGACTAGTGTAAAACAATTCAAAGA